ACCAGTCCCCGACTGCGCACAGCTACCCCAACTCCCCCAGCAGTGCGACCGACCCTGGGAGCCCCTACCAAATTACAGGTACAACAAATGGCCACTCATTAGCAGTGATTTCTCAAGCATTTTATTTGATGTTTTGGTTCTTAATTTAAGTATAGTGCCATTGAGTTGCATACATTTATACAATCGTCTTGGTCATTCACAGCAGAGACGCCTCCACCCCCCTACAGTATGATGGAGACCACTCCATCTGAGGATGTGAAACCTGGAGAGTCCTCCAACACCAATAAACTCATTCTGTCAGCCCCACATAGAGGTGAGACACTCGACTAAATATACTTACTGTGCTTTATGTACATTGAAATGTGCAAAAGCTGTGAACACACCTCATTTACAATGCTAACTAAAAGTGTTGACTATATATATTTTTAATTGAAATAAAATGTTAATATTAGATGAAAACTTGAACTTTAGATTTAAAATTAGGCAACTAACTGAATTTAATTAAATACATTGAATTACTAAAACTGAAAAAAAAAAGACTAAAACAAAATTACTAAAACAAAACAAATAAAAATGCAGCTAAATAGAAATATTTGAAAACAAATGGTATATAAATAATAATAAAGTAATGCATTTTAGAATTAAAAAATAAAATAACACATATGAAAAATAATTATGTAGTGACAAAAATGTTAAACAGTTTTATATAACATTGACACTGAGCCAATCAAAATCCACCCGACTTTAAAGAGCCTGAGTATTTAAAGCTGCAAATGACAAAACTGCAGCAAACGCTTATAATAAACAGAATGTTTTCATGCATCGGTGTGGATGTATAATATAGTTATCTTATATAGTTATCGCTCTTGGTGTTAACAGGCCTTATCCTATTGGTTTAAAACAAATTAAAGTAAATTTTGAATTTATTAAAGAAATCTCTATTTATATTTGCATATAAATCTAATTTCTAATTACAAACCTTTTAGCATAAACCAGATTAAAACCTGTTTAAAATCTTGAGAAAAATCAATCCAATCTGGTGTGTCCAAACAATGAAAGTGTTTAATCATGATGACATTATTTCTAATTAAAATGGATCATGAATATGGAATGAATCTGAATACAATGAGGTATGCTACATTATATCAAAAATTTTTTCTAGACTTGAGGCCAGTGTGTTATGAGGAACCAGAATACTGGTGTTC